CCCCCCCCCCCCCGTCTGAAGCTTCTGTCTGGGTGCTGCAAATGTTCTCACAAAATGAATCTATCTATCCGTCATCTTTCGGTGATGCGTACGAAGAAGTGCAAAAGAAATGATATGTTTTTGACTGATTTGACGCTTTTTAAATGAATGAAAGCAAATGCGATTTTATTAGTCACTCCGCACTTTTATTTAAATTTTTGGAGAAATGTTGAACGAGGGATCAATTGTTAACGATATCAAGCTTTAAACGTAAGTGTCAGTACACTTAACTACTAACTGTAGAATTCTAAAGAATTCTGCGATTCGAGAGCATACATAACGTTGTGTATTAATTGCAGTTCAGCCTCTGAAATTTCATATCCTAAACGCTTGTACACTGAAATTACGATTATTATCTTGCAGCTTGATAAACTTGGCCTTGAATTCTTTCATTTTTTTACTTTCATCAGCTTTAGATTACACTCAGATCACTTTAATCGACGGAACATCTATTTTTAAATATGTATATATGAGAAAACTGATTCCTCCCTTTGGTAGTCAAATTTTATTGTAGCACACTAAAGGGACATAAATGCATAAAAAGCACCCGCTATTGCATATATGTGTGATTATGTATCAATGTACAGCATTTTGACATTATAATAAACTGCCTACACACGCCTGCTATATTAATACAAACACATCGTACGCTTCAACAATTCATTGTAATCTATAGAAATTTGCTATCAAGCAAATGTATCGCAATGAATGGAAGATTGCTCTTCTGTAGGTAACAAAAAAAATATGTTAAATATTTTCGTCTAATTTTTTTGGGTTACAAAACAGCAACGGCACAGTTATCTTGGTTAATGTAACGTATACGTATCGTAAACGGTACCACATTAACAACAAACAAGTACGCGTAAGCGGTAGTTGAGCGCGTACAGGAAGTCCTTGGCGGATGGTTTTGCGCGTGTTATATAACGAGATGCGTAATGTATGATAAACATCAGTGTAATAATAAAGAACAGCAACAATAACAATAACAACATTAACATGAGAAACCATTAAAAGAATATGTTGTTTGCCGAAGAAGAATTTTGATAGCTTGTAGAGGTTTTTTTTCTCTCTGTTTAATGATTTAATTCTGGCTTCTCGTTAACAATCGCTTTTTCTTTTTTATCACGCTTTTAATTAAGCAGATTTATGCTAAAGGACGTACGTATGTTTAATGATTTGTGATAATTCTTTAATGATCGTAATCGTAGACAATTTTGCAAGGAGAAGGGGCGGAGTCTATTAAAAATTATTTATTTATTTATTTATTTATTTTTATTTTTTTATTTTTAATGAGATTTAGTTGATTTTTTATTATATTTTTCAATTTTCATTCTTCTTTTAAGAAAAGTGAATGCTATGCATAAAGTTTTTTTTTTTTAAAAGCTTGAAGTTTATTATTTTAATGAATTGTATACTTGTATGCATTGCATGCATGCGTGCATGTATGTATGTATGTAGATATGGACTGCCATTGAAGAACCCCCTGTCCGCCCGTATGAGTGTTCACGTTGGCATAAATTTAGAAACATAAATCAAAATATTTGACTTCCGATGCTGACGACGACGCGCACTGGCTGAAGAACTATGACGATGGCACAAGTAAAATTTGAATACAACGAGATATTCGTACGTACATTTTCACATTAATTTACAACTGAACAAAACAATAGCTCATGAAAAGAAAACTTATAAATATACAAAGCATACACATCCACAAAAATTGTACCTAACACACGTTGTGTGACGGCAGGGCAGTCTAAAATAAGTTTATTTATGTATAAGTGCGTGCATCAACATTATCCAATCGTATCGTATTATAAAGCTCAGAATCATCCTTTATGTGTGACGCTATATGGCGAATGTGCAATACGTATATACCTTTACCTCCAAGTAGATACTTGTACTCGTATTATGAGCAAAAAGCGTAGAAAGTCTTTTGTATATAAAAAACGTATTTCGGATACCCAGCGTATCAACTAAAATAGTAAAATTTCTTCGTTGATTGGATGGATGAGTGGTGGGATCATTTTCACATCCAGCTTTTAGGTCATGGACAGTAATATCGAAAAGTTTCGTCCCCTTTGTCCCCGTTTCTCTTCTTCTTTCAATAACCTATGGTACTTTTCAAGCGAACAGCGTCTATTTTTCAGCCCATCTGTGGCCATTTACTACAGCACACGTGAGAAACGCAACGACGGATGGTTAACGGATGGACAGATCAGCATAGTTAAATTATTTTGAAGCGTTATACTGAAATTGCAGTATCATAAATATTTGCACCAAATTTCCGATTTCGTGATGAAAACATTCATCTAATAAATCTTTAACGAATTCATTTTCACATTTCCATTTCACTATTTTAATTAGCATAAATTAATCGATGAGACTAACCGACAATTTATTTTAGATATAAGGCAGTAGATTACAACTTTCCTTCCCCTTGGAAATAGCTTAAGGCTCGCCCATGTGGAAAATTCTATTTAGACTAAAGTCTTCAGTACTTATCTCAATTTTAGAAGCCTTAAGACGAGAGTGACCTTGCATGTGTTCAGAACTTATCTTTTACGATCAAGAAACCATATCGCGCAGTCTTGTAAACGAATTTAAATAACTAATACGCTCTCATGCTTTCTTCGCGTCCTGTTTAAATTACGTTTAGAGCCATAGATTATATTTTGTCCGATGTTCACCTTATTCTGTTCACTTTTCATTCTCTTTTAAACTTATCTGTTATCTCTTATACTATTAGGTTGTACGCAAAGTCATATCGCTTTTTTCTAATAATTTAATTAGATTTAAAATTGCATTTTTCCAAAGCCAAGTTAACACTTTAGTCGCATTGTCATGATATATTTGAAACAAATTGTACAGTAAGGTTTGCTTGTGAAAGAGTTCGATTGATTCTACTCAGTAGTTTTTTGGGGGGGGGTGGCATATCTCAAATATGGAAAGTGAAAAGCAGCATTTTCAGCATATTTTTTATTTATCGGCAAAAGGTTAAAGTGCTATTCAAGCAAGAAAAAAATTATCCGATATGTATGTCAAAGTTGGTTTTGCAAAATTTCTTTCCGCCATTTTTGATAATGAAGATGTACGACGGTCGACAAAGTCAATTGAAGCGGATCAAAACAAAATAGAGAGCGGATCACTGCATAACCGACGAATAACAATTCCTGAGATCATTGAGGCACCTGTGCGAGGCATTTATCGAATTCGACTGTTCATAATAATATACATTGTCTTTCATTTTGCCCCAAACAAAAAAAAAAAAAAAAAAAACCGAAATGATTTTCCGAACAACCTAATATCCAGTATTGCGTTAATTGTTACCCACTACACTTGGACTAAAATAAAAATATAATCATACACTCTTCGCAAAAATGTAAACTGATTGAATTTGACTTGTTCTATAGATCGAAAGTATAGGAAAGCTAGTTGCTGCCGACATGTTTCGACCTTATTGTTTCATATCATGTCGCTTACTGCGGCCGTAAAAAGATATACAAATAGCAACATTAGCGCCACTAGCGAAAACGCATAACATGTATACATATATATATATATATATATATATATGTGCACGCTTATATTTCGAATAAAAAACTAAACACTTAAACTATGGATTTAAATTATCTTCAATGAATTGGTCTGTGTGTGTGTGTGTGTGTGTGTGTGTGTGTATATATATATATATTTGTGTATGTATGCATTGGTGGGTGTATGCATGCATGCATATATAGTGATATGCGTACATAGCCAGTAGCAGACATCTATTCATTAATATACATAATATGAAATTATTTATCAACATATTCGTATCGGTATACAGGTGAAGATAATAATACTACGAGTTTGTAAACGAGTGCGAATGCGAGTGTAAGTATAAGTATGCGTTAGGAATATGTACATAAATAATGCTCATAAATTTCAAAAATTTGCGTAATTATGTTGTACCTTTATTATTATTATTATTTGTTGTTGTTATTGCTACTATTACTACTGGTGTCCATTATAAAGAAATTTATGCGAACTCAATACATATGAATATTTTTGAAATTTAAATTGCTCTTAGATTTATGCGAATTATGCTTAATTAAAGTTGCTAAAGCTAATCGCTGTCTGCTGTATGAATCACTATCCATCCCATTTATTCTCTCCCTTAATTGCGTTTTATTCGTTTAAGTCGAACTTTGCATTGACCGCAAATGGCATTATATCTAATTAGTTTTACCTTGAGCCATGAAAATTTGGCGACTTCGGCCGAGTAACTTTGTTGTCGATTAGCGGCAATTTATTTATATGCATTTGTGATATGCGTAAAATTTGAATTTAGATTTTTTTGTTTTTTTTTTTTTTCTCTTCTCCTTTCGAATTTTAGCACATCCCTAAGTCAGTGTGTGTGTGTGTGTGCATGTGGGCTTGTGCGCGTGTGTTACTTTTTTATTAAATGAAAAGACAATTTATCACAAATCTGGATTCCATGCACGGCATCAATATGTATGAGAATTCGTGCTCATATCAGACGGCGTTAGATCTTAAACGAGTATCGCCGCCTACTTTGACGCAAGTAAAAACTGAGGATTGCTTGACATTAGGACAATGTTCGCCGGATTGGACATCGTATCGTTTCCATCAATCGACATTCGAGCAACTAAAACAAAGTGTAGAAAAGGCTAAGGCCGCCTTACAGGATCGTAGTACTTTTTTTGGAGCCTCAAGTGCATTTAGGTAAATATGTTAATGATTTGTTCTTATGTTAACTTAATTGAATATGCGTTTTCGTATATGTGTTGATTATTTCATTTAGCGATATTTATTCTACACCACGTCTAAGTGATACGTTAGATACTTTGCCAAATGTCCAGGGTAACAATGGTGCCAACTGTATAGGCATTGTTCATAATTCGAATTCGTCTTCGGTGGGTGCGAGTACACCAAGTCTGGTATTGAATGGCAATTGTATAACGACGGTATCGTCAGTCACTTCAGGGCAACGTTATCGTTTAGACAGCCTACAGCCAGCCGGTTGTTCGCCGGTTACACAGCATGGTGTGATTACTTCAAGTGCAGCCCCGCCACCACCTTCGTCATCATTAGCTACAACAACACTGGATGGATCTCCACATCTAGATACCAAGACCAGAGGTAAGATATATATGTTTGCCGAAAGGGGTGTAGCGCATCTACGATATAATACTCTTAATTTTTTTTTTTAATATTTAGGTGCCCATTCCAAGCACCTTTCCATAAATGAAACTGTTTTGTTGAAAACAAAAAAAAAAAAAAAAAAAAAAATGAAACAAAACAGCAACAACAACAACAACAAATTCTTAATAAATTTTCGCCAAACATGCAAACTTGCTGTTTTAACGCGAACACAAAAACAGACATCCTTAACCTCCCTAAGTGACATATTTGCTCCTTTTTTCCTTTTTTTTTTATTATTCATTTTTTTCTTAGTTAAGGGAATAAATAGATAGAAAAAAAAAACTTATTACTTTTACACTTTGCTACCATTTAATCTGGCTGAAAAGTAAAAAAAAAAAAAAAAAAAAAAAAAAAAAAAAAAAAAAACTTGGCTGGCAAATGACTGGACTCACCAGCAACGATGAGGCAGGTAATTGAAAACGAACACAGTTTGGCTTGGTCAGGAATTATCCGCGAACCTTTTTACATGTACATGCCTTAAAACAGTTGTTAAGTAAATGGAATTTTTGGCGGTTGTGTCTAAATTGATAAATTCGTGTTGACGTCAAGGCAGACTGACCTCAAAAAGTTCGCGGTTTACCGCCTCAGCTTTTTCTATTGTCTCTCTGTATGTTAACTTTTTTAAATAGCATTTTTTTCTTTATAAAATAGATTTTCCGCTTTTTTTTTTGTTTTCTTGTTTTTTGGCAAGTGCCTACAAAATCTTACCGCATATTGTATTTGCCTTTTTTTTTTTTGTTTAAACGTTTCTTGGCAAATAATTTAAAACTCCTTTGTTCTCATGATTTTTGTTTAACGCGGAAAAAAAGAACTGAATTTAATTTGCAAAAGATAATAAAAAAAGAGAAAAAAAAAATATATATATATATATATATAAGCGCCAAAGCGAATCTTGGGTACCCTCATCTTTAGTTCAAAATATTCATTAGCTGAATTTTACTCGCTGCACATATGCAATAAATAGTAAATAGTACATATGTGATGAGCAGCATGAAGTAATCGTCTTTCTTCAAATTTCAAAAGAAACGGAGATAATTTCAAGCTGGCTAGCTAGCTATTGGCCTTGAAAATAGCTTCACTGAATTTGTAAAATATTTCGTCCGAAATTCTTCGTCTCAATCTCTGCAGGCAGTTAAAAGGGATGGTAAGTTAAGCGGATAAGAGAGCTTAGCGAGAGAGAGAGAGAGAGAGAGAGAGAGAAAGGGAGCTAATGTTGAATGGACTTGGAGCGTTTTTTTCTTTCTTTTTGCCAGGACAAATACACTTCATAGGGTCTTGAATGTAATGACAAATTTATTAAATTTCATTTCCATTAATGGCGGCTATAAAAAGAAACAAAAAAAAAATCGTCACACAAAACAAACGAAAGGGTATAAAAAAAAAAAAAAGAAAAAACAATGAAATCGCGTTTCTCTCGTGATGTGGTCAACTGTACATTAATATTTCTGTTATATATATATATATGTGTATGCTCAGTATGTACACATAACATTTATTTATATGTGTGACTAACATATGTTTGAGGCAGCGAGCAAGTTTTTTGACCAGAAAATTGTTAGTTAAACGGAAGGTAAAGATTTGTTTTTCCGTTTTATAAAGCAGCTAATGTTTTTACATGTGTGTGCTTATGCTTGTCTATATGCGCCTGTTAGTATTTTATATAAAATTTTTGCTGTAAATCGCTATTACATGTTTTTCATATTTTTCATATAAAATGTTGTCAGCGCTTGATTAAAGAACATTTTTTTGAATTTTACGACAAAAACGAATGAAATAAAGCTTTAATTTGCCGCACGTTCATCCAAGCGATATCCAAGCAAGAAATTGATTCATTCATTATTTATCGTCTATGGTTGACGGCGTATATTGTCGCGATTGGCTCTATTCGACTTGATCGAATAAATTATGAGGAGTGCGTGCGTTATGCTAACCAAGAGGAAAGTTAGAGAATCCGAACAATTTATAGAATTGCTTGTCACTCTGGTTTGGGGTAAAATTTCGCCGCACAATTTTATTAATTTTCTATTTATTTCTTATTTATTTTAATGGCCTTTGCGTAGAGAATTGAGAAATATCTCACAACAGTTTTTGAAAATAGTTTCTGTGCTTAGTGGGAACAGCGAGAAAATCATTTCGAAAGCAATCAATTATGCTCGGTATGCTGAGAAGCAGGGACCGTCAGACACGCCAACGAAAGGAATTTGCTTATATATATGATTATTGACAGGAACATTGCACACACATACACACACACACACACACACACTATTACTTTTGATAATATTTTATTATCGTTCCACTGTACATATAAAATGTTAAAAGAGAAATTTGCTTACCCTCGCGGAGACGGGGCCTTCTTAATGAGCAACAGCGAACTCTAGTTTAGCGTTTCAATTTAAACGGCTTCAAGAAATTTACATGCGATTACGTGAGCTTGCGATCGCTATAAATATCGCTCGACAGGCCGACATTTGAAACTTTTTAAAACTAAATTCACACACACATCTATATATATATATAACGCTAGGTCCAAAACATAAGACCAAATATGCAAGTTAAATCACGCAGTTTCACAGTTCAAACTAGGCCAAGAAAGGGTTGAAGACGAAAAGCGTGCCCCGACGATCATCAATCTCCTCCGATAACAGTCAGGTGAAACAAATCAAATATTCGGTGCTCGAAAACCGACAATTAACACCAGGGACCTTACTGACGCTGTACATATTTCATAAGAGTTAGTGAACAACATTTTAAAAGACACACGAAGGACTCGAAACGCGTCAATTTTCGATTGGTACGAACAATACTCGATTTCATTAAAAAAGAGCTTCGCGTAAAATCTTTGAAGAAATGCTTTCTGACTATCAATCGGTCTTGAAAAGCATTATTACGAGAGATGAGACTCAGATCAACACCTACGACTCGGAAACAATCGGTCAATCGGGTGAATGTAATGCGAACGCTAAAAAATCAAGGCCATGTTAACAGTTTTCTTCGATTGTAATGGTGTCGTGCGCTATAATGATGTGGTGCCGTTCCGCCGGATCAAACTACTAACAAGGAATATTATTTGACCGTTCTGCATCGTTTGGGTGAAGCTACTCGCGAAAAAAAGACGGAATTGTAGAAAGATTGAATTTTGATTTTTGCATCACGATAATGCGACATCTCCCGCCCATATTTTTCCACGACCATCGTACTCACCTGATTTAGCTTCAATGTGGCTTCTGGCTATTCCCTAAATTCAAAATATCGCTTCGTTTTGAGTCGATTGAAGAGTCGCAAGCTGAAGGCCCTTCCGGATGCAACTGTTTCGAAGATTGAACCAAACGATAATTGGCATAAGTATATTGCATGTGAAAGGGATTACTTTGAAGGAATAGATTTGCGAAAGATAAAATTAAATTGGTTTCATTTTTTGTACATATAAACACACATACACATATACACTGTAAGGAGCCAAAATCGTCCATCAATGCTGTAAAACGACTAGAACGAGTGCGAATTGATATGGATTGTAATCAATCTACGATTCTTGAAACGCTTTCGGATTGTAAAAGGATTTAACGTTTATTGGTGAATTGTAAGCGAATTAAGAGAATGAATAAACAAAGTGAAAACTTCGATTCTTTAAACATTCAAAGAAAACATAAAATTCTTGTAAGTCAGAGCCTGGTGCCGCCGAGCATACGCCAGCACCAGGAAATGCGTTCGCAATACATATGCGCAGACAAACACAAACACCTACACAGTACCCAATGTTTCGAGAGTGGTAACATTAAAATTTAGAAAGAATGCCGATAGTACTTCAAGTACTGATGAAGGTGCAAATAAACAGGCGCTAAACTATTGTCAAGACTTGAGAAACTTTTCAAGCAATTCAAAGCGTATTTTTGCAAAAACAAATCATATAAAATGTATTGAACGTTTTTGGCATATTGATTCAATACATTTTATAGCAGTATGCTACTCAACTTCCCAAGGAAAGTAAATTAGATAAGCAAAGTACCAAAAAGAACCAATGGCAACAGTCGCAAAATATAATCGTATGATGATTTCTGAGCGATCTTCAAAGTAATTAAAGTAAACCCTGTAATGCTTCGCGGCGCGCTGATAACAGTAAATGTTGAATAATTTCAATTGTATCTTCACTCGCGGCTCTCACGCCTTTACTGTTAGTGTTAATCAAGTGTGTTTTGGCTTGCTAAAGAAAGAGTATTCGTTCGATATGATGAGCCACCGTCATCAGTCCGTTATTTTAGTTTTACTCAGCTTACTCTACTTGTCGAATGCGATCTCATGTAATTTATATTCGAAAAGGTAACTCTACAGAAATTGCTTTACTTTAGAAACAAAAGGGGAAAATTTCTCTTTATTTGAAATAATTGCGTTGCTAATCTCGCAGATATCCTATGATAATTGAGCATCCATAGACGTGGAGCACGTTGGTCGTTATTTATCACCATATGTGTAAATATAGGAATAGATTTTTAGTTTTAAGAGACTAAGCGCTAAGTGCAGATTAAACGATAGGATTCACAGCACGAAGAAATTAAATAAAAAAATAAATAAGTAAAGCAAAATGGTGGCTGTAAAGTTGAAGGAAGAAAATTTGGAACAACACTTTAATGAAGAAAGAAAAGGAAAACAGAGAGAGAGAGAGAGAGAAAGAGAGAGAGACAGTTAAAAAAAATCCTTAAGCAAGTAAGGCGAGAAAGCCGAGGAGGTTGTTGCAAAAGCAAAGCCCAAAGGATTTCATTTCGTTTTTTTTTTCTTTTTTCTTTTTCTGACATTTCCAGCCAACCATGCAAATTCTCTTTCACATATACACACGTACGCGTGCACCCCCTCACATACGGTCGTTTCTATGCTTTGTATGTTCTACGACCGACCAGAAGTGAATCTTCTTTGTGTTATCGTCGTATACTTGTTAGGTTAGGAGATGCTCCAATATATGTATCTGTAAACGCTTGGGTTGTGCTGCTCTTTATGGTTCAGCGTTCAGTTTGTGAAAGAAATCTTTCATGCGTAACTCATTACTTTTCTTCAGCTTTTTCTGAAAAGAAAATAATTGCAACAAAAATAAAACTTGTTTCATAGCATCACCACAATATATTAGAGATTATGGAAAAAAGCAAAAAAAAAAAAAAAATAAAACCTTTCATGCACACTATGTTATGTAAGTGCGATTGTTGCGAGGACTGAATCCGAACTACGGGAGAGAGAAATTTATTTCTTTTCTCATTTTTTTTTTTTTTATTTCTCTTAAATGAAAGAAAATTTAAATTTTTTCTTTTCGTTTTTTTTTTTGTATTTCTGCTTTTACCATAAATCGCAATATATCGCACTACTCAAGAAAGGAGGAACAACGCGACAATAGCAAAACAAAAAGACGAAAAAAAAAAAAAAAGAAAAAACTGTCATAACTTTTGACAAGCGTACATAAAACAATGCGTTAATAAATGATGACATTCGTACACGTTTTCATTATTTTGTTGCTGTTATTATTTTACATAATGTGTCCTTTGTTTATTTTTGTTTTGCTATTTTTTTTTTTTTGTTTTTTTTTTTGTTGTTGTCCTTTTTTTTGCTTTTTTCTCACAACATTTTCACTCTACAGAGAAATTCGCCACGGAAAGGCAACATGTCACGATGACTTGTGCAAAGTTTTGTTTATTGATGTTGCTGGTAATAAATTGTTTATAAAGCCAATTAAGTGCTTTCGCAGCGAATGCTTTAAAAGGACCATTGATACGTTGTGCGAGTTGTAGTGCATTATGCTGTTCCGGTCGTTCGACATATTTAACCATTAACCAACCAACGATAGTAATAAATAAATTTTAAGATAGTTCTCGATGACTTGTGTCTGTCTGTCTGTCTGTCTGTCTATATGTCTATGTGTCTGTCTATCTATCTAACAATTATGGGTTCGGTTTGTTTTTTTTTTTTTTGTTTTTTTTTTCGGGATTTGACGGATGGTGTAAATTATCGAAATTATCATCAGTGTACTGAACACGGCTTAGTGTAGCATGACATGAAGAATAGCATAAATAATACATAGTACACGAACAAATAAACATGCAAAAAAAAAAAAAAAAAAAAAAGAAACAAATAATAATAGACAGTGTAGCAAATCTTGAAGTGTGCCATTTCGATGCTTTAAGCATTTAAAGGCACACACACATATATACACATACATAGTTAACTGCATGCAAATAGCAATCATTAAATAAACAAAATCCGACGACCAATTAAATGAAGATGTCATGTGTAAAAATATGGTCTTATTATTATGCTTTAAAAGATACCACAAAAGTAATTGTTCTGATGATTTTCTCTTTCTGCTCGATTTTCAGAAAAATCCTCTGTGGCTTGTTCCTCTTCCTCTGTAAATTCTCATAGCGTTTCTAATAATGAAAATCATCGGTCTTCCAGCAGCAAATGCGTAACGGGTGAGTTTAATATAAAGAAAGAATAGGTAACAAGAAAAAAAAAAAAAAGAAGCAAAACAAAGCAAAATGGAAAATAAAAGCAGAATTGATGTACGAATCTTGGAGTGCATCTTCGATATTCATTAACGCCCATAACGCTTATCTCCTTAGCTTAGAGTGCGGTACCGTACCGTAAGAGCACAATCGTATGTTTTTGTCTTTCATATAAATGATAAGATTTTTAAGTTCAATCTGCGAAAAAGCTTTTACTCATACATATATCAATTAGTTCAGGCAAAAACCGTTAGCAATAAAATATGCGCGGATTTGTAGTATTTACGTTAAACACTAGAGCTAGAGCTTTCACGTTTAACAAGAAGATTATGATAAACAAAATGGCACCGCGAGCAAAGACGAAAATTTTCAGCTCACATATTGTCCGAACTTATATATGACTATTACTTATAGGAGAAGTTGTGCGTCTTGCTCTTTAATAATTGCATTGCTCATTGATTATTTAGTTTAGCAAGTGTCTCTTTTGAATGCATAGAACGGCAATCGAAGTCTTCTTTTTAATAACGAATTATTCTTCATTGGATTTCTATTAATTTTCTTTTTTCTTTTTTTTTTTTTGATGTGACCAATTACATAGCGGAAAGAGATAGGATGCGTGCCACATAGGTAAATATTATGCCTTTAGTGAGTGTTTGAACACTCATTACAGCTACGACTATATATGCGGTACAGCATTCTGGGAATTTTTTTCACTTGAAAAATTCATCTATTGATCAAAATATTTCCCATGATTTTCTTCAATTGTTTTCCATCTTTCTGGCAACAAGGCGTTATCGCTGCAACAGCGTATCCTTGAAACGTCTTGCAAAAGGTAACCAGAATAAGACATTTTCAGTCCATTCGTGTCAGCACTTTTAAAACCAAAAACTATGAAACCAAAACTGACAATTGAGATATGAGGGAGCAGCACCACCATGAGCCTCTGAACATGTTTGGTGGGCTGCGGCGACAGCTTTTTTCAAATAAACAACAAAAGTAATGAAGGCCGAAAATGCAATTTTGAGCGTTTCCATGGCTCCGTTAGCATGGACATACGTTGAATGCATCAATAATACTAAATGGAAAACTGGAGAAAGGTCAAAATCACATAAGAACCCATAAATTTTTGTTTAGAAAAACGGAGTTGCGTGTAGTTTACACTCCATTGCACGCTTGTACTCCGTGTCTATGTGGTGTGTGTTGTTGGCACTCTCCTGGCCGCAAAAATGAAGATATCGCCTTCAAATTTGGTAGAAACATTGGTTGGTACGGACAAAATTGGTGAGCGCAGAAGCCCGCAGCGAAGTATAAATTGAACGCAAATCTATTTTTCTTAACGACAATTTTTGGGTTTTGCTCGTTATTCAGAAATTATAAAATTGAGAAGACTGAACTTTGCTGATTCTAAACCTATCAAAGTATGTATGTCGGTCTGTCTGCCTGTCTGCCTGTCTGCGTAGTGTGTGTGGTAAATATTTGCTGTAGGCAAATATGGGGCAATCGGTTTCAAATTTGCTTCAATTATTGAAAGTTTCTGTACGAAGATTGGTGTTGGAGTAGGCTCAGACAGATCAAAAAACGCGTCTAAAGTACAATATAACCTGAGATTATATCTTTTTGCTCACTACATATAAACTACAATAGATGCATCATAAAATTTGTGTTTAGATTTTATTGATGGACCTGCAACACCGGTACAAGCAGGGCAAAAACCAGCCACGCCCGCTCAATGATATGGTGTACGGGAATTCAGGTTTTTTTCCTCTTGTTTAGTCTCTTTTAGGAAAGCGATGATGGGTTTAAACAATTCGGTCGCGGTTGTTATATTTCATTTTTAATTGCTAAGCTTTTAATTATATAAATGGCGTTCGTTCTTGGGCCAAAAGACATCGATAGACCGAACTTCATGGAAAAATTGCGCTATACAGGTTGAATGAAAGGATACAAGACGGTTAGACGGACGGACAGATATAAATGTTTAGACTGATAAAGAAAGCGATTTTGAATCGATCGGTATAACGAAAGTCCTTCTGGCCGTTATATACATCATCACAAACTTAATACGTTCTTGCGCTACAAATGGTGCAGATAATGGCTTGTCTTGAAAAGCGGTTATATAAATAAATAAATGTATTAAGCGTATGGCATTTAAAAATGGTTCACTGCTTGCTATAATGTTTCTACTTGTTATAATTATAGATTATGTGAAAAATTTTGAAAAATTAACAATTTCATTAACAAAGAAAATTTGTTGCGATATCATCATATCAATAAATCTGAAAACGGTCTTGTACGGCATTTCAGTTAATCCTTCGACAATAGCCGAAAGATTACCATACATTTGAGCGAAAACATTAGCTTACAGTCTAAACAAACTAAATAAGACACAATACAAACACAACTGATGAGCACTGTGACTTTTAAGTGCTCTTCAAGATTAATCCTATCGAAACATAGGGCGTATGATGCAAGGGATTGTGCAAAAAAAAAAAAAAAAAAAAAACGATTGAGTAAAACCCAGGGAGAGATTGTGTTTAGCTTGGGTGGAATTACCTGATACCCTTCGTCGCCTAGTTGATTAATAAAATATATTATCGTGCTTTCAAAATATAAGAAGACAAAGAGCTGCGAATTGACGTTTCCCCTCTCCCGTGTCTTCTGTGCACATCGCAGCGTCACAAAGTGAATGAAAAATTGAAGATATTCTCCGGTCATGCGTACGAATGAGCGCGCAGTGCGGAGTGTGAGGAAAACAACCCTCTCTTTCGCGATAGAAAGATACCAGTAATCATCAATGATGATAATAAAAACAAGAAGAACAGAAGGGTGAGAAGAGAAGGGGGGAGGGGGAGAAGAGAAGCTTATAACCAGAAAAGTCAATTGCCTGCAACGTAACAACGTAAATGCTTACCAGTTGAATAAGAAGAGCATAACAAATGTATCATCATAGCTAATCATTATGAAAGCATGATCGGCAAAATCTGTTAAGCGTGAGAATCTTCAAATAAGAAAAAAAAAAAACCAAAACACACTTTTACCATTTAATAAAGTAGGGCAACAGAAAGATCATAATATACCCAATAAAATTGGTAGCGAGGGGAAGAGGCGAAGAGACGTTCAACAACAGTAGCAAATTTATTGTTTGTTTACATTAGTCACGTAAGATGTAATAAAAGCACAATTCCACAATTATGATATCAAACAATTCCGGACTGTCGGAATGGAATAGCAGGGCTTTAATAATTCTATTAATTGCCCATTTACTACACATCTCTACTGAATCTTCGAAGGAACACTTTAATACACTTCAATTATATTGATTGATTGATTGATTGATTGATTGATTGAAAATAGGTCGTGTTAATCATTTCAAGGCTTCACGATTATTAAAAAGCTTCTCAATTGAGTACAAATGTGATTGGTTTGGAATAAGACGATATCGAGTCTCGCTCTGAGCATATCTGAGCAGACATACTATATAGCAAGTACACGCATTAACTGACAATGTCTAAATAGACAAAGCAGATGCAAATCGGGCAAACCATTTAGAAAGTTTAAGGAATTTCACTTTAATGTAACGTAAAATGTTAAAAACGTTAAGCATATCTTTGTATGCAGTACGGAGAGAATAGAATATATTCATTTCATTAGAGCGTTTGCAATGCGAGTAGCTATCAGAGATCCTGTGAATTATGCATACTTTCCATCAATCTTAACCTCTGTCTTCGTCTTTGTAATCTCCGTGGTCAATATTCAGTTGGTTTCTCCGCAAGGAAGCTCTTGTGCGCACCTTGGCATTAGAAATGGGTCAACAATCAAACAATCAAGGGATGCGTCTACAGTGTAGCATAAACTGTAGTCCAAAACTGCACCCGATGCGGCCACGTGTATTATACGGGTGACCCAACAGTGCCTGTGAATTATTGGAAGATATGGTCTATGCTGAGCAGTATTATAGAAAGAAAGAAAGAAAAATCTTTGTTTCCATTAAATGTGCTTTACATGACAGCGAAGGTTGACTTTAAAAAAATTAATAAATGATGAATGAAATGACAGCACAGCTAGACATAACTCTTTTCATACACATTTGATGAATCGTCGTAAAGCATATGAGTGCTCCTGCGAGGCGGCCCTAACAAAGCATATAAATTCGTAATAAACCTAAAGGTCTGAGCCAATTTAGCTATATATTTTTAATCGTCCGTCCATTTATCAGGCGCATCTCAACGCTAATTTCACACAGATGTGTCCTTAGATCAAGTTTGAATGTAAGCGCAATATGCCCATAGATATTATGACAATAAGCAAAAAAAAGAGGCAGATATCAGTCTGAAGCGTTGTAACAAAGTTTCCGAAAAGCATTTGAATGTTCGCTAGCTCTCTGTCCGCCATCTAACAAGCTCACACAATTAATAATTCGCGATTATTCCATTTTTTGTTTTTTTTTTAAATTTTTTAAAATAATTTATTATTGCTCTACACAGCTTAGGATGTATTGCCCGTTAGACTATCTCGCTTGTTGATAAGGTTCGTTTGAGACTGCGTTGCCTATACTTTTCTGAAATGTGAGTAGTACGCCGGCAGGAATTGCTTACCCATAGTCAGCGTAACCGTCGGCTGGCATAGTCACCGTAACTCTCTCCATCCATCCACAAATCGCTCACAACCCTGTCCTATTCGTTGCCTGCATGAAGTAACACTAAGGCGTAGATTATATGGACGATTGTTGTAAAAGAGCCCGCGATACGTCAGTAAGACTCTTCCATCCTTCCGCTCACTGATTCGATTTGTGATTGAAAGCTTATCCATCTTCTCCAGACACTCATCAATTATATTTCGAAGATATTATCGTGTAATAAAATTATACGCGCCATTGTAGTGGAGCGACAGGCGATCTGCAAGTTCGTAAAAGTATGAGTAACGATCGCGCTACTATCTCCCAATAGTTTTTAGAATTTCCGACAATT